GGTAGAAAACTACAGAACAACAAATAAATAAATACATAAATAAATAAACAAATAAAGTAAGGCTCATGCCCTCTTGGCAATTTTTTAAAATTCCAGAAATTTCTGGAGAACCTTAAGCTTGTTTTATATATGATTCTGTCTTTATACCAGAAAGTTTTCTTGAGATTGTTTACTGCCTACAAAAGAAAGAAAAATCGTGGTGTGCCAGACAGTATGCAGTTGCCTGCACTCTGGTCTTCCAGAGAGCCGCCTTGAACAATAGTAACAGCAAAGGTACAGCATGAACTGGACCACTTTGTGTTTCATTAACCTCAAATAAGAACTTTGTTTTTTCCAAAGCTGGTTTTGGAACCATTTAAATGATAACATTATAAAGCTAGGCAGCCTTTACACAAACACAGGGGGTCAAGGCCTTTTAAAACGCAAAACCTTTGAAATGAACTTTTTCTTTTACACCACCATTTCCCGCCTGTACTGGGCTTTTGGTCCTCCAAGCGAGGACCTTCCCCTTATGCTGCCCAGTCTATAAGGATCCAGCAAGCTGCCACCTATGGTCACATGGATGTCTGCCCTGAACAAACTGTGTTTGTAACCCCTAAGCACCTCTGTTGGAAATTAGCAGGTGTGTATCATGCTTCTGGCATGGAGCTTCTGACTAGTCTCTTCTTGAAGGCACTGCGATACCTAAGATTTCACCTTCTAGAGAGGTCTACTACTTTGTGATTTAAGTCTCCTGTGATTTAATGCCCTTGACTTCCTGAACAAAGCAAGAGAGGGGCAATTACCTAGTAATTTTCCACATTCTCAGAGAAAGTCCTAAACAATGAAGGTTCAAAATCCCAACCAGCATAACTGTGAACACTTAATGCCTTATTAAGAAAGGAAAAGACTAACACCAATTCTGTAAAAAAGCAGTAGTAGCCAAGAACTTGTTGCTGGGTAAAGCCAGTTTTTATCATATGACCAGACTTACATAGACTTAAAAGTGATTTGGCTTTTTTTGCATGCCAAATGCCATCCCAGTTATGCTCAGGGTGTTCCTCTCTCCACATCCACAGGTTGAATTAGCTCCTGGTACTATCAGGCTTGCTTAGATGAGAAAAGTATCTAGGGAGGAGTTATCTGCTAAAACTCAATTGAGATAGAAAGGATACAGAATTCTGTATTTAGATGTTCACTTTAGATGAAATGACTGAAAAAGAAAGCAAACTTGAACTGCCAATACTACTTGTCCAAAATTGTAATACTCATGTATTCAGAAGATATATATGTTAACATAATATGTTTGTATCACAAACACAAAGCCAGCAATCATATTATAAATCAGTTATGCCCTCAGCCAAATTATTGTGTAATGATGCAGCTTCGGTCACCACACCTCCCTTATGGCCACTAATTAAAATCAACTTGCCAGGTAACATTTTTTCCTCCCAAATGAGTAATTTCTTGTAAAAAGAAAAATAATCATAGCTTGAAGAATATGCATAATCAGAAATTTTTAATTATGTGTCAAGAATAGGTTTCAATTCTTAAAAGTTAGAAGCAGCAGGGAGACAATGAAGTTTATACCAGATACAGAATGTTTTAGGATACATATAAAATTGTTAATACTGACCTGTAAAATACTGACAGACTTGGCAATAAAGTACCTGATGAAATTAGAAGTTAATATAGAGAAAATAATGTAAATAGAAACCAAAACCAAAAACATAGCCTGCACATGCACAGAGATGTGCTTTTTACAAAGCATTGCCATTTTTCAGTAACATACTGAAGACTGTTGTTATTTCTTTGAAAATGATGGCTCAGCACCTGATCGCAGCCAAAAGAACCCAATGGAACATCAGGGATCATTACAAAAGGCATTGAGTACATAATGTTAGATAAAAACATGTCAAAATGCTGGATAAATACACATATGCTGTTTGTGTACCATTGCCTTTAAAATATCTCCAAGATGGTTGCACTGGTTATATTGCCAGAAAAACATTGTGTTTGTTTCTCATTGTCTGGCAGCATCCATATCCAGGCACCAGAACCTAGCCTTCCACTTGGTAGGTTTAAGGATCAAAATTCAACTCATGAGCACCCTTTACTGAGCTGAAACTTCACTGACAAAGAAATGTAGTCGATTGTACTGTGAAAGCCATCTGCTCGGCTCTCAGGCACTCAGAAAATAAACCTACTACCTGTTTTTATTAATTTGATACTGGACTTAATCAACTCAAATATTCATATGCTACTGCTTTATAAAAAACTTTGCACCTACTGTTACTTCTATCGGTATTCCCATTTGTGGCTTGTGCTACCCACAGTGCTGATGCAAGTCTCAGCACTTGAAACATCAGACCAGGATCAGTCCAAACTTTCAAGCACAGTGAATATCATCTGAGTACCTAATGTAATCCACAGCAAGTAGCCGCTGTTCAAATGAGTGTCATGACAGTGTCAGTTTGGGGCTCAGTCTTGAAATGTCCGATGTCACCTACTTAAACTATAAACATCAATAAGGTTGCTCATTTTTTAAGTTAAGCACATGCTTAAATGCTTTGCTGAATCAAGGTCAGCATGCTCAAAACTTGGAAGGATCAAGTCTAAAGTTTGACTTTACATTTGAAGGACTAGCTCCAAGAGTATTTTTCTAACGTCCCAACCTAATCCTAGGAATGTCTGTTGAACCAGACATAGTATATCATAAAGGATTTACAACAATTAGTTTGGAATGACCTGCACTGTCTGTTTCCTGGTTTTGCTCTGGGGAAGTAATGTTCTCACCATAGGCTTGTGCCAAGAAGCCTCTCACCCAGCCAGCTCTCCAACCAGCACCATCTAAGTTGATAAACAGTCTGAGTAGCAAGCTTATATCTTCAAAGCATCTGGTGAAGGTGGCCTATCTCACTGCTATATTCTCAAGCAGATGAACTGGAACAATTAAAAAGAAAGTTAATATATCTACTAAAATGCTAAATTTAAAACTTGGAAACCTTCCTATCTGCTTCCTTCCATTTCAAAACACAGTGAGGTAACTAGGCCTGACTCTTTGGCATTAGTCCATTTAAATGGCACAGATTTGCCTACCTAACAAAGCCCTTTTGTTTCCTACAACTGTGAAACTTTGGTGCACTGTAACTTTTCACGTTTCCCAGGTTACCTTGGCACCAAACTGAGAGTAAATGCCTGCAAAAGATTTTAACTCTAGTTTTGAAGGAATATAATATCCACAAGGAAGAATGATGGCTTTCAGTAAGTACCCCATGGTAGCAAGAACAATGCTGAAAATCAGTTATGCTTCAAATGTCCATGAAGCTTCTGGAAGACCTGTGGCTTAATAGAGAGCTGCACTCCCTTCTCTGTTACAGGCTGCATCACGTTTGTCTTTTCTTCTGTTCCCCTTCCTCATGTTATACCTGTTCAGCTTTACCATCCGATGCAAAGGGAGGAAGGGGCTGTGACATATCTTTTAAAATATTTAATTGTAAAGACCTCCTGAATTTGAAGAAACTTTAAATTCTGGAGCTGATTTCCTGCTCTGTGGGAAGAAATGGATCTTTTGTCATTGATTCCACAAGGGCAGGAAGCAATTCCAAGCACATACACATATGGTGTTAATATGATAACTGAACGTAAAACAGAAAATAACTTAACAAATGTAACTACTTGGGGTAAATATCCTTCCCATTTTTCAGAGGCTGCAGAAGGTCCCAGGTGGATAAAATGGGAGTAAGTCTGTGTCATATAGATTAAATGGGTAGGAAACACTTGCAAGTGCTGGAGCATTGGTTTATGGTAAAGTTCCAGAAGCTCCCTCCTTGCCTTATGCAGTAGGGAATAACAATCAGAAGCTTGTTTGGTTTTTTTTTTTTTCTTTCCAACAGCTGTAATAAAAGGGCTTGAGAAGTTATGGCAAGGCCACCTGCAGACAGACCTATGGGTCCTCTGCACTGGAGCCAAATATGAGGTGGTTCCAAATTAGATGCTAAACATGGATGCATTAAACCAAAGATACACCTCGTGTGACATATATATCAGCAGGATTTTCTGTATGTTTTTTTTCCTGAGGCATTCAGGGTCTTTTCCTGAGATACTTAAGACACCCCAGGGCAACAGGTCACTGTCAGTGAACCCCAAATGGATACTACATTCATTGTAGTATCACATCTGAGAGAAATAAAAATTGGACGAAGACCAGGAAGAGCACACAGATGACCATGGTTATGTATCATTCAAAGAAAAATTTGGCAAGACATGAGAAGGTATAGGATTTAGCAGACAGCAATATGATGGGTGAAATACAAGTATCATTCTATCACATTTAATATATGAGTTATTCCCTCCTAGAGTGAATGCAACTGAAGTAACAAATCCTGATATTTTTCCTTATCCATGCTCTATGCACACCTTAAAATTCACCATAACACTGCAATTTTTTAATTTTTTTTCTTTTTTTAGTTGTTATTATTACCACCACATCCAGACCATGTTATAAACCAAGTTCCCAATATATTGACCACCTACACTGTGCATAATAACAAACAGTTCCTGCCTGAAAGGACTAACAGCATAATTAAATAAATTTATGGAAAACTCACGCCCAAAGAAACTACAAATCCTCTCTACATTCAATGAGAGAGGCTCTGGCAGAAGCCATTGGAGAACTCCAGGATGAAATCTGGCATCACTGGTGTCAGTTGCAAAACTCTCATTATCTTTGGTGAAACCAGGACTATGTTTCTGCTTCATAGCCTTTTGTTCAGACAACTCAAACCTGGCATTTCTTAAGTTTTCTTATTTCTACTCCTTGTTCTTTTACACCAAACACATTTTTCCTGTACCTTCTGTTTATGAACTGATACTTTTATAATATAATTAGGATACAACTATGTCTAATTCTATTAGTCTCTGTCCAAGTGTTCACTACTTAAAATATGAATTCTTTCACAAGGATATATCCGAAATTTACACTGCAAGGTTTTTTTCACAATACGTCCTGCTTTGAAATACTATTTCAATGCTTCATGTTCTCTATCTTGCATTTCTACTGGTGCATTTAATAAGACTTGGCTTTCAGATTTAAGTTTCTTCTTTAAAATAAGGAGAATTAGTGCACTTGGGATATAGGACGCTCCACGTAACATTGCTGGCAGGCCAAGATAGAGCCACCTGAAATAAACAATGAACTTCATTAAATATATACATTTGTGAAAAAATAGCAAAACTATTCAGCATACATTGTTTTGTGACAATTGCCCAGCCACTCTAAAGCTTGTGCCTTGGGCCTTTTGGGTCTCACAGAAGATGAATCCATATCAGAACAGAGAATATGTCAGTGTCAGCAAAATGACTATTTACATCACCCAATTTCAGGCAACAAATTTAGCCAGCAAAGTTAACCACCTGGCACCCTTATGGCTTTTTCCACAGGAAAAAGAGAGAGAGCCCTGAAAAGGGCAGATCAGACCACCTGAGTAAAACTTCTGGATATTCATGAGCTAGCATTCTTCTTCCAAATCAACCTCAACACAGCATTAAAAGGAATCAGCCTGAGGCCATTAATTCAATAAGACATTTCTTCAAAATTCCTACAGTGCTCCTTGAAGGACTAAAAAAGTATGAAGCGTAGTATCCGGGGCCAATTTCCAACTTCGGTAACTATATCTTCTCTATGAATTTCTCCTCTATTTTAATTCAAGAACTATTTCAACCCTTTTCTGTTTAAAGATATTGCATAGTCAGCCATGAAACATTTTTCCCACAAGGGCTTACTGCTTTTAATTTTTTTATCAGAATTCAGTGTCTTAAGGTCTGTTCTTGTGAAAGGCCACTAGTGACTGTAATTATGGCACCAGAACTTTTCTGTTCAAAGGGTGTTTCGTCTGTGGCAAATGTTGCACTTGACAAATAAAGCCAATGCCAAAGAACAGTGTGTCAAATCTCTAACACAGGACCAGTTTGTCTACTAGGAAAAGATAAAGAGCATAAAATTATATCTCTATGCATGTAATCATACACTAAGATGGAGAAATGAAAATAAAGTATAAAATATACCTGTATGTGACGATGTCATACATCCTACATGCTCCTTCACCACCACAAGTCGTAGTACCCCACTTTAAGCAAGTGGTATCTATCAAAGCTCCGAAATAAATTGGAGATGGAATTCCAGCTAAAAAGAATATTAGCAACATTTTTGTGAATAAAGTATTTCTTCTGATTAGCAGATACACTATAGAACCTATGCTGCTTCTCACCTACTCCATCTGTCCTGTCCTCTTGCAGCATGAACCATGTTCTCTGTATTTCTTATGTTCTCTCTTCTTCCTTATCCACCTACCCTCAACCAAAAATTTTCTTTCCTGTTGCCTGTTTAACAATATATACATGCTACAATATGGACTGTGATTCCTATTGAAAACTCCACATTTTCTCTCAGTGAGAGTGAATGTTGTGTTCGATAAACATATAGCAAGAGCGAAGGAATGTGGAATGGCTTTCAGATGAGCAGCAGATGTAGTCAGCCTATTACCCAGTATAAATAAATGCAAATGGAAAACTGTTCTAATTTGCCATGCTGCCTAGAGCTGTAAAAAAACCCCAAAATTCTTCCTGATCAAAGGCACTCCATAGAAGTAGACTCCTGTGCCATGCCCATAGTCCTGGTGTGTTCCTTATCTAACTCTAGATCAGACGTAACTGTACTTCTGAAGCGTGTTAGACCTTTTCTTACCAAATACTCTTGAAGCTAGTCCATGGATACCCACTCCAAATGACTTCTCTTCAGGCTTTAGAGACCTGTACGATAATTACATTGTACACCAATTAGCAGAGGTGACGTTAATATGAAATGTTTACCTCTGTTTTTTTTAATCAAACTCTTCCTCACATTAGGCCCAAACCATACTAATTAGAGCATTGGTTGAAAGAGTTCATTATCCTCATTAGGTGATGTTTACTGAAGTTCCTTCACTAGGATTGCCAAATCACAAAAGGAAAAGCTATTGTCCTGGCATCATCCACTTGGACTGAGGCAGTGCAAAGTGCAAGATAGTTGTGCCTTAATCAAAATCATGTTGATGTGATCAACAAAAACATGGGTATCACACATTCCTCAAAATCTCAGTGCACTGACTGAGTAGTCCTACATTAATTCAGGATACAGCTGTTAGCCTGTTGTGAATGAGTGGTTTAGGGTCGCTCAAAGACCACATAGCCAGAAGCAAGAATAGATAATAAAGCTGATATGACACTAAACCTTAACACAGCACAGAAATTACATAAGATCTTTCTACTCGTCCTCCCTCCATACATAATGTAATACACTTTTAATTCCTGGAGGTGTTTGACCTCAGAATTAAAAGTCCAGTAGGTTTCTTAAGATAAGGACATTTTACTGTACCTTATTAAGACCATGTACCCAGGCATGGCTGCTAAGGAAAAAATGAAGCTGCAGACTAATGACAATATTAAAAAATAATTAAGCATCTTGTGACAGTCGTCTTCTCCATTACACTGGCCCAGAATTGCAGAAACATTTTGAGATGAAAACCCTGAGGTTGCAACACAGGTGCAGTTTTCAAATACCTGTCAAAAGAGTAATTTAATCACACATACTGGTCAAAACTTACACACTGAGTGTGAAACTTGCACACTTGGCACCTAGCTCACTCTCTCCTGCACTCGAGTATGTTACACATGTGCAGCACTGCACTGCGGCCTCTCTCCCAGTCTGCCAGGCACAGGTCCAACCATCATCTGTATGTGGCATATGAGGTTAGAGAGCAGGAGAGAGCTATGGTCCTCTTATGCAGCTGGGACTACGCTTCCTCAAAGAGTCCATGAGCAAGACAGCCCTCATATTTCCCAGCACAGCCTGGTTATGTGGTCCTTCCAGTGCCAATAGGTCTGGCCCTCTTTTTCATAATCTAGTGTGTGGTCTTTCATATGCCACAAGAGAAGAAATCAGAGGTGTTTGATTGAGTCGGGTTGCAATATTCTCACTCAAACACTTACCTCTACTTAAATCAAAGAGACTATTGCTAGAATAAGGGCTCTCAAATATCAGCCAAGGTGAGCAAGGGCATCAGTGTCTGGCCCTTACTATCTTCTAATACTTCTCTAAAATATTTGTCAAGTCCAAAGGCTTTCTAAAATCTCTGTGATTTTGATTTTTATTGAACTCATTTTTTTGGATTGTCTTCAGTCTAATTGGAACTTACTTTTTTAATGGAAAATGTATTATTAATTGAGATAATGGAAGTTCTATAATACCTGGTTACTTGTTTAAATCTACAGGGTAAAAGAGATTATTAAGTTCATAATACAGAATTTCATATTGGCAGAAATGTTCTTAGGGACTCAGGTTCCCAACTAGCAATACCTTGAGAATAATTTCTTGCTCCAAATTGAGCATTTAAGATTCCTTCAATTATTAGAAGAAAAGGGGGCTTCTTCATTATATTCTTTAATTTAAATTTAAACTAATTTTCATATTCAGTTTGGAATTTCTGTTGCCACTCAAAGAATTTGTCCAGCTCTATCGCCTTATACATCCAATTACATGTACATGTATGGATATTTCCCACACTATACTGATATGGATATTTCTCACCTCCTATATTTCATAGTTACAGCACAATAAAATGTATGCTTTACCACATTTTTTCCAGTTCCTCTTGAGGCTTTACACCCAGCAAGACAAGGTGACACATAGGTGATTCCATTGTTCCCACAAACAGGGTCCCATATTTTAAGTGGGCAATCACAATCCCTGTTGCAGCCAGCAAGTAGAGTATTTTCTGTATATGAAACTTGCTCTATTCTGAAATACATTTAGAAGATGAATAAATATTTCAGTAATGAAACACCTACAGTAACCCTTTGCAATGCTTAAGATTCTATCCTAGCTCACGTGTTGATCCAGGACACAATACTACATGCTCCTATCTTGGAGTCATGCCTTTCTATCTTTTTATAGGATGTTATATTATATTAATATTCTCAATTTATAGATTGGTATGAATATTCTACAGCATTTTTCTCATCTATGGCATGTACGTTCTTGATTGTCTATAAGCATTATATATATACCTACATATGCATTTTACAGACACACAACCCTTCCCAATGATTAGTGGCAGACTTCAAATCAAGAAACTGCAGATAAAATATCCTCTAATAACTCAATAGCAATCAAATTCCAGTAAAACAGCATAAGATAAAGAAAGGATTTTGTCCCTCTTTAATTCTGAAATTGCACTAATACATGCCTAATTTGATCAACAACTTTCTATTTTTACCTGCAGTTACACGACTTGAATGTATAATATTAGTAAAAGAATTAATATGGACATGCAATTGCATGAGTCTTGATGTGGATATCTTTTTTTAATACACTTTATTGTTTAAAACAGGGATAACAGAAGATAGATCTACTGTCTCATGCAAGTAAAAAGCCTTGAGAATTTAGGTCATGAAACTAAAATGTTGCAAAGCTATGAAGTCCCTGGCTGATTCTTGACAAGAAAAATCATTCTGGTGTCTTTTAAGTCCTCTTGTGTCTTAAAGAACATACCCTTCATAGGAAACTGTTAGGCCAGCAACTGGTGAAGCATCACAGATCGTCCAATACGCAGCAAAGTAGAGAAGGTATTCCAGTAAAGATACCCAAAATGCTATGTTCGCAGCCTGATAGATATTTATCTTGAATTTCTTCATGAATAAACCTCCCAAAAAATACCCAACGCATATAACGGGTAAGTTGTAAACACCTATTGAAACAAGTGAAACTTCCATGTTAAAATAAAGACCCCCATCAAAGCTACTGATAAGGGAAGACTGTGTTTGGCAAAGACTCATATCATGGCTGTGACTGAATAATTTAACTACAGTCAGAAATGGGTCTCTACTACTTCCCCTGCACACCCAAAATATCTGCCAATGTCAACAGCAGTTGGGAACTGCTTGGAGAGTGAGCTAGAGGGTAGGACTGAAATGATCAATTGGAAAACTGCAATTCAGAGTTGCAATCTAGTTCCAAAACACACACAAAAAGACAGGGTTTCAATACAGCCTCCCTAGCTGAAAGAGAAACTCAACAGGAAGATAAGCTAGTGGAGAACATCTTGGTGCACACCAAGCATCACAGAAAGGAGGAACAGACTTTCAGTTTTTATACAGGATTACTGAACGTGCTCTCACACTCCTTTGCTGTTTGATACTTTGATGAAGCATAGACTGACTGAAGTAGTTTTACACAAGTAGCATATGGCTTGGTTGGCTTTGCTCAAGGCAATATTGGTTTTCTAACAATACTTGACTGTGGGTGGGCGTGGATCATGTGAGGAAAAGGGAAGACTATTAAACCTGAATTTGGGTCATAGAATCATTAAATGGTTTGGTTTGAAGCGACCTTAAAGATCATCTAGTTCCAACTCCTGCCATGGGCAGGGACACCTTCCATTAGACCAGGTTGCTCAAAGCCTCATCCAACCTGGTCTTGAACACTTCCAGTGATGGGAAGGGGCATCCACAAATTCTCTGGGCAACATGTTCCAGGATCCTCTCAATGTACTATATATTTCAATACAGAAAACAGTCTGTCTTAAAAACAACCCAGCAGTGCAGTGTCAGTGCAACACAGATAAGATGTATGATAGTTACATGCCTTTGGATGCACAGCTTTGAAACACTGGTAACAGAGGGCAATAGACATAAGGTCTGGGACATGCTGTGTGTCAGGTTTCAAAGAAAATGGTGCAGCTACTGTGAAAGATTAGCACAGAGTTAAGGAACAGAAGGATGGCTAGATGTATTTTAAGATGATTCTTCTATAATGATTAAATAAATTCTGGTTTAATGAAGTGACTGCAGTTAAAACAAGGGAACACTGAAAATTTAAGACATGATCAAGTGGAACGATAGACAGGCTCCTATAGTTTCTGGATATTTGCTTTGTGCTAGAACTACTTGCCATTACCATTTCCCAATGCATGAACGCATTGTCCTCACTGATAAAAAAAGACAAGCTAATAAAGAAGAGACAAAAGAAGACAGGTATTTGGTCAGTGCTTTCCTTCCATGGAGTTCTGCATAAGAAAGAGGGTCTGAGGCTTTCAGAAGGACCAAGACCAATACCTGAGGAGTGAAAATTATGGAAATTGTTGAAGATCACTAGCAATTTTAGCTGTGCATAGGTTCAACCCATCTATGTCTTAAGATGTCATGTTCATGAACATCAAATCTATCCTTTACTTTATAGTATACTTTTTAATCAAGATAATACAAACATTGGGCCCATGGTGTCTTGGTGTAAATTAGCAAAACTTTGAGATCAGTGGTGCAAGTTTCATATCAGCTGAACTTTCTAGGCCAATTCAAAAGATGGGAAGAAGATTATAAAATTCTGCACAGAAAATTAGAAGATGCTTTGCAGAAAATGCATGATTATTTAGAAATGCTTTGTAGTGTGAACCTCTCATTTGTAGAAGCATTTGACCTTAGTATGTATATGTATACATGTACCCATGAACATATATATATATATATATATACACATTAAAAAAATAGAGAATTTGCTTTGAGACATCATTGCTTGGTAGAACAGAGCAAAGCAAAATGCAAACGTACCAATTAAAAAGATGGCATCTGATGCAGATTTTCCAAACTGCTGTTCCAGATATTTGGGCATGAAGGATATCATGCCATTGAAGGCACTGAACTGTAACACAGTTGTGCATATAAATAACATATAAACTGAGTTGCGAAACAGAGCCTTGAGGAATGGGATGAAATCTGTAATGAAACAATGTAATGAGTTAGTGTGATGCTTTATGAGATTAATTGCTCAGTGAGGCTGAGGGGGGATGAGGGGAACAGAAATGGTCCTTAACTGGATCAGGCTAATTCTTGTGCTTTGCCAGACACCACAGGCCAAAGATTATTTGCTTAGGCCAGGCTCACCCAACATGCCTCCTTTACACAAAGATAACCTCACACACACACATGCACACCAGTGCATGCTGCTGCTTGTAAAAAAATCACAGTAATAACCTTATCATAATAGTTTCCTAAAACTTTTTAGTTGTATAGTAACTGAACTTTGCACCTACAGATTTGCAGCAACAGCTACTCCCTCACCATTCCTAGTCCTTTTTCTCTCATCCCATGCCCTCAGAGCATCCACCAAAACCCCTTTCCCGCAGCTGGCATGCAAAGGGAGTACAAGGGGAAAGGGGTGCAAACACACAGATAGCTGAGTCAACCTGCCCTCAGAGACCTGATCACTGATTTTGGTTATTGCTGCTGTCAGTGATGGGGCAGAAGAGGCCTGAAGAGGGATGTGCCTACAATTATTCCCACCATACTCTCAAAGTCTGGATCCACCAGTCTTCAGCCAAGTAAGCATCTCGGATACTAATTTACACAGGTCTTTTCTCTCCATAATGCCTATGAAGTCAGGATCTGAACCATTAAAAACCCCACAATTCCTCTTTGTCTAACGTTCTCTACTAATTAATGTGCTGAGGTATTGTGAAGAAACTGCAGAAAAACATCAGCATCTGTAAAATGATGACTGTGCTTCATGGAAAGTGGGCACCACTTGGGATGGTTATATATCTTTCAGAGGTAGGCAAGTATCTTACTAGAAGAGGATCTGTATGCAAGTCTTGTAAAAATGAGTCAGATATCCAAAACACTATAAATAGGCTGTATTATTTATATATGCCATGTAGTTTATAATCAGAGCTTTCTGAGGAAGAGATTAATTTTAAGTATAAATACTTCAATTTTCAACTTTAAATCCTTGGCAATTAAAAAGCTGTCTGAACACGTCCTGGTCAACTGGCCATCAGCAGCCCTTGCTCGAGCAGGGGTTTGGACCAGGTGACCTCCAGAAGTCCCTTCCAATCTGAACAATTCTGTGAAATGAAAAGATTCTTAATTCAGGATATTCAAGGGCAGTAGACTTTCACACAAACACAGAGAGGGAATGATGATGAAAACATAAGCTCTGAAGGAAATTTCAAGTGCTAGGACACACAGTCTGAGCTAGGAACCTTTCCTCACCAGAGCAGTACTGTATTCATGGATTCATTTACGGCTACATGACAGCAGAGAAAGATGCCATGTTTATCAAAATGAAGTTGCAATATCATCCAAGATCTGAGTACTCACTCCAAGTATAGTGAATGTGCAGGACTCAGCTTGAAACACCATGGAGAGGTAGCTGGCACTTGGCACTTACTTTCTGAAAATGAAGATCCTGTCAAGGGGCTCTGAGCTGGGTATACAGAATCATGAGACTACTCTGAAGATCATAGCCTTTGACATATTTTATTCACTTACATGTCCAATTAGCACAAAAAAATGGAAGGGAAAAAAATAGCTTCCTACAGAGATAGGAAAGCCCACAGATGTGAATGTTGCCAGTGGTAACATGAATAAATGTAAGTCAAATAGATCCTTGTTCAACAGTCATTAAATGTTTATGAGACACTTAAGCACCTGTCAATTCCCTTTTATGGTTTTAAGTTGGACTCAAGAAATGCACAAGACTTGTGTTAGTTTTCTGCCTTTCGGCACAGTGAATGTGAGGTACAAACAACTAATATCTGCAACTTGTCCACAACTCACTGAGTTGTAATATTCCTAACTGGGTTTCAGTGCATTAATGTTCCACCAGGAAGAAAAGATCCAGATCTACATACATCTGAAGTGCAGGAGAGGGAAAGGAGTGAATTCAGATCCTGGATCTATGAAATTAGCTTTCTTGCTCTGCAAGGAGACATTCTAAATCCCTGCGCAAATCCTTTTTACAACAGAGAGATGAAAAACAGAGTATTCATTTCATACCTTGGACTCATCTTTACTTACAAAAATACACAGATAATAGTTCACATCTTAAAGGACTAAATTAAGAAGGACATAAAATACAATATGACTTGCCTTTAGCAATTTCATACATGGTCTGTTTGGCCTCGTTTTTATCATTTTCTTGCAATGGTATTACACTTTTTTTACTCATCTCCTCAGTTTCACCTTCCTTCACAAGTGACTTGGGCAAAAACCAAAAAGGTATTCCCGCAAGAAGATTCAGTGATGCACAAATCAAAATGCCCAGCCACCATGCTCCAACCCAACGGGCATCAGTAGCTGTTATAGTTATGTCCTCTATTAAAAAAAAAAAAGAAAAAAAAAGAAAAGAGAACAAACACAAACATACATCTTATATTAGTTCAGAAACATTCTTTGCTGTCATTGGGTGTTTTCCTAGTCATCTCTGATGTGATATATTAAAAGCATTTTAAAGATTCTTAAAATGATGCTGATGAAAGAGAATAGTCTCCAGTCTTCTTTTCTAATGTTGCTAATTTTCTGGCAAATTTCAATATTTTGTCTTAAATTAATTCTAGTCCTCTCCTATGTTAAGCCAGATGACACAATTGTTCATCAAATAATTTAAGTGCAGATTCATTTGTGTATGTGTGAATTCAGCCCTTTTATTGAATATTATACACACATTTGCCACTTAAACACCAGCAAACTCAGATAAAATTAAGACCTCTCATGTTAGCAAAGAAACATCTTTTAATGCTCATAAATACACCATCGTGCCTACTGATTTATATGTAAGATTTTATATATTTGTCCATTACCTGCATCTACGGATCCCAGATCAACAAACAGTTCTGCACAGAAGGATGCCAACAAGAAACCAAGGAAGGGGCCGATTACAGTTGCTGTATGTAGACATCCTAAAGTATGAAAAGGAGAAAACATACTAAATTAGAACCCAGGTATAATTATTTTCTTGGAATTCTTATGTATGTTTAGGACAGCTCTACTGAATAGACATTTGCACCTAAAAATGGCCTCATTTCAACAAGTTCATCTCTAGTTAAATTACAAGTTCTACGGTATTATTATTTCAATAAGGCAATAATGTCTGTCTTCTCTCTTCCTTTATTGGATTGAAGGGAGTCATAACAATCGTCTCTTTTGCTTTTTTTTATGTGTGTGTTTGTTTCGGGGAGGGAGTTATCATAGTAGTGTAGATTTACCCAGGTAGAAAGGTGAATTCTCTGCTTTGGCAAAATCCTCCAAATATGAAATGCCTAAAGGCATGATGGGAGTTTCACCCATTCCTCGTACTATGTTTCCAACCATCACAAATATCCACAGCAAGGACCCAGGCTCTTTTTCACATTCTGTGAATAAAAATAAGAAGCCAGAATTAATGTTTTAATTCTAACTATTAATTAAATTCTAGAGACAAAGAATTGACTAACAGCTTCAACTTTGGTGGGTAGGTCTGCCCTGTAAAACAGAGAAATAAGTATTCACAATATTTGAAAGGTTCCAGACTGGAAGAAGCTGTTGTACTTGCTGGAGTAGAGTTTAAATCACTTCTCTCTCCATGCCATACCTTGTCCAACCACCTGGCAGTCCAACCACTGCGTAATCTAGGCCCTTTCCTTTACTCATTTCCCTCACCAAAACTGCGATTTTCATGTCAGTGCAGAGAAGACAATGCCTGAACATCAGTGATGAAGGGATGAAAAGTCATGCCTGACTAACCTGATCACCTTCTACAACAAAGTAATACTTTCTGTCGACATGGGGAGGGCAGTGGGTGTTTTTTACCTGGACTTCAGCAAAGCATTTGCCACTGTTTCCCATAGCCTCCTCCTAGACAAACTGGCAAGATACAGACTAGATGGACAGTCTGCGAGATGAGTGGGAAATTTATTCACAGGCCATACTCAGAGCATGGTGATCAATGGCTTTTACTCAGGCTGGCAGTCTGTCACAAATGGGGTCCCCCAGGGACCGATACTGGTCCCCATGGTATTCAACATTTTCATAAATGATCTGGATAATGGGACTGAAAGTACTCTCACTAAGTTTGCTGATGACACCAAACTGGGTGGTGAGGTGGACATATCAGGAAAGAGGGTCATCTTACAGAGAGATCTGAACAGGCTGGAAGAGTGGACTAGCAAGAACAATACGACCATCTCTCTGAAATTCAGGAGTCTTTTGCAATTATGCTAGTAATTGTTGCATGAAGCCCATACATTATCATTTGATTATAAGAATATTGTCTGAAATAAACCAGAAAACTTCCTGATTTCACAGTGAGGTGCCACCATTTGCTCACAAGAAAGCCATGCCAGTGCAAAAGATGTGGTGGTGTACTACCCTTGCAAGGAATGAGATTTCTGAGCTTTCCAGCTTCTTTGCCTTGATTCAGACTGCTAGCTTCTGGTTTACTTATGTTCATAAGCCCCCAGAAAAGCACATGGAGAGTAAATTCGTATGTGTTTAAATCATTGGCTGTTTGCTGGTAACCTCAGCCGACACTTCGTACAACAGTTCTCACCACCTGGAAACCCCAGCTTACACCCTTACCTCAAAGCTCTGTTCTAGCACTATAGACTTTTGCCTTGCATATCAATGACCTCCCTATCCAGGAATTTCATCTGTCCTATTCGGGTATTCAATTTCAGATTTGGGACATCTTGAGGACAATGCAAATTCTGATTTGGAAAATAATATACAAATTCTACCATAATTGGCACAAGTCATCAAATGTTACAGAAAGTTTTTCTGCCTCCATCATACCTCTGCAACTCAGAAGGTCAGTGTTTCCCTGAGCAGGCACCCACTGGAACTTAGCCCACAGTCTGCTGGTCTGGGCACTGCTCTGAGGAAGTCTCTGACTCACTGTGACCTTTATACAACTCTCAATCAAAATCAAGATCCATAATAATACATCTGGCCAGCCTGCCGAATCTATCTGGGGATCTAGCTCTCATTTATTCACATCTGTCCTCCTACATAACTCAGCAGAAGAATACTGTGCTGCAGCACAATCCTGTTTGTCCCGCATCAGCTATATCAGGAACTATATTAGCTTTAGTACTTTCTTTCTCTCCCTGAATTTGGATTTCTTCATCCCATACAGTCTGCTTCAGATTACACTGTTCTCTATGGTCTACTTTGTCATGCTGAGACTTCTCAGTGCCAATTCATTATCAAATAAAAACTGCCTTTGTTAGCAGCAACTGATGACTTTCTAAATGAAAGCATTAATGTCCAGACATTAAGGCTGGATCTCCTGTATCAATGTCAGATTGCTATCAGTAAACATGGGTGAAGCAATCCACATGCAGATGTGGTCAAATTCAAACCAGTTTTTGCATCACACAAGAGATGAACTCATATGTATGAATGTCACAGTTTTGCTTGTCCATAAACTAATAGGGAAACAATCACCTTACCCAAATACAGTCATAGGGCTGAGGACCTATGGGTTCTAATGTGTATACTGAATGACTGTATAATTTAGAAGAAAATGCTTTACCTATCCATACCTTAATTTATGCATTTATAAAATGAAGAAAAACAGTATCTGAAATCTTCAAATGAAAAATTAATACCAAGTGCTATTAAGTATACACTTTTCTCAACTTTTCCTTGTAAAGATGAAAAAATTAATGCCTGAAGTGACATGCAGTCTTGGAAAGCATGTAAGTCACTTCCATTGCTAAATGGAGACACAGAAAACTGCAGCACACCACCACTGTGGTTTGATGTCACTGTGTTCATACAACATTACAGCAGTGTGATTCAGCTTTAGCACACATTGATGGAGCACCATCACAAAATATAGCAATTAACTGTGGGGTTCATCTCACTTAAGTTTTGCCATCCACCAATCATCTAAATTTCCAACAGTCAGTAGGCGCATCCAAGAGGTAATCTGACCCACTCTAAAGTAAAGAGCATGAATGCCCTTACAGCAAAGGACACACTCTGCAAGAGCTCTGTAGTCTGCTTTGACCAACTATCAAGGGTGCCTACAGAGATGGTTCAAACTAAATGCTTCCCTTTGAGGTAGCTAAAGACTCAGGATAGTGTGAGGATTTCATGTGTGATCGTTTAATAGTTGCCTCTGAGCCGTTTGACTTTGTAGTAGTTACTTTATACGCATATTGCTAGTGCACATACAGGTATCAATCTCCCAGGTAAGTTTTAGCATAGTTTAAACTATTTTCTCTAAAAGGAAGTGAGATCTATGTTTTTGCTCTATTTCTAGTTCTTTTATTTCTTGTGTGGTACAACAAAAAGGCATCCTGATGCCTTTTATCCGTTGTCCAAATATGTTTTCCACCTCCTCATGGTATAATAGTATTTCAAGTCAAAAGAGGAACATTTGTGAGAATAACTTGGTACTATATTTCCCCAAAGTGGACTGACAGGGATGTTAATTGAGCTTTTCAGATACTGTGATAGTGCATGAAAAAAAGCTACAGCTCTGGAGTCACAGACTAAAGAAACAAGAAGGCTAGGAAATTTCCTGACCTCCAGTTTTTTGCCTGCAAAAAGTACTGATCAAAACCAGGACCCTGAAGTAATTGCTAATAAAAATAAAATCTTATTTACTTAAACACTATAAAAACTGAGGAAAAAGTATTAGTAGACATAGGACAAATCATACCTGTTGATGGTTCCTCTGTAGATAAAGAGAACAAGCTTTGATTAACAAGGCACAGAGGCATGACTGAAAAATTCTCCTGTTGTGAAATACTGCTTTCAATACGATACCTGTTTGAATCAAAGGAAAGCACATATAGGTTAAGAAGAAATACATCAGAACCACCTCATAAATCTGTCATTCAGTTATAAGAAGAGTGTGTAGCTAGAGAAAGAAGGAAACCTACATCAGAAGTTAACTGAGCCTTAACAACAAATCAGGCTAGGAATGAAGGAACTGTAGCAGGGAATCAACCCAGTGTTTTATCCAGACTGTTATCTAGCTTCTAACATAATCTTGTAACTGATGCTTCAGGAGGAGTTGATGAAACACCCTAATGAAATCCCTCATATCATCTTCTCTCCTACTCTTCTTACATTCTAACCCAATTTACACCCTAAGTAGAGGGTGCCACCAAGGCTTTCAGAGCCATACCACATTGGACATACCAAGATTAGAGGATCTTCTTTACTCAAAAGATATCTCACTGATTAAAATATAGACAAGCCAAAATGATTATTTTGTTAAGCCTAGCAAAAATAGTGAAAAAGTGGTTACAGAATCATTATAGTCTGTAAAGGCCTTGCCAACACACCCATCAGGTATGATCTGTCACCCAGGCTCCAGACCAAAGACATCTTTAAAAATCATCTTGTATTGCCCATCCAAGCAGGTAACAGCTAGTAGTGTAATGTGACAGTATCACAGGCCACTGTTTCTACAGAGTCCACACAAGAGTTAGCATAAGGATGAAGGCAAGGGAAAGGTGCGCAGCAGAGAGGTGACTCTCCTCAGGAAGTAATGACTTTTGAAGCCATCTCAGAAGCAAAACAAAACAAGCTGCTCTACAATTATCATATCAGACCCATGCTCAGCAATGTCTCTCTCAATAAGCAGTATTATTTCAGTAGGAGAAGTTATGGATTAAGGCAAGTAACCATCACAGAAGCTGCTGTGAGTTAAGCAAAATACTCACCTTCCAAATAGAAAATGAGGAAGTGATATCAAAAGACATCCAAATGACAGAACTGTGCAGCCCAGAGCAATTATTCTGGGTCTGTGAAGCTTTGCTCCAAAGTAACTCACAAATGCTATCAGCAGCAAGTTACCTGCAAAAAGAACTTGGTTCATATTTACAAACCAAGGCATCCTTATATCTTTTAAAGTGTAACACAAATTTGAGTATATCTTGTTAGCTCAGTATCTTTTACTTTTCTTGTCTTGTAAAAACCGTAACTAGACAGGGAACTGCCTAAATGATGCAGCAACTCCCTGCTAACTGTGATCTTTTTCTAGAAGAGTTATACCACATGGAAAGAACATGAAAATAGAAGGCAGAATGTAAAAGAGACCATAGTGAGAGAGATTTTTGACTGCACCTATGTAGAGAAGAATTTTCCCACTACTGTACATAGAGACCAGGCCCAGGGACTGCAGCATAATAGCTCTTTTAGGAAGTTATTCTCCTAGGATACTCTATTTTGCAATGTAGGGGAAAATAAATACAGAAGTATGTATCCAAGTGGTTTTGTACTGAAAATAATAAACACAAGATGACATACAGAGGAAAAAAGGAATAATAAATTAATACTAATTTTAGTAATAGTTTGAGAGGAGTAAAAAAATACAGAGTTTTGTGCCTAGTACCATTTAAAAATACAAATGTGCTAAAAACCTTCATTCTCTTCTCCTCTGCTTTCACTTCAGAATCACTTATTTTCTCTATTCTTCATTTATTGCTATGCAACTAAGAAAAGAATCAAGCTTTATGTTATGAATCAGGCCCCATAAAAATAGTAATTTAGTAATCATGCACCTACTAATTTTGTGATCTTTTTGTCAAAAGAACAAAACCATGTCTCTGAATGATGAGCATCATGATCTGAAAAAAGATAACATCTTTTTTTTCTGTATAACTGCTAGACAGACTGTATTGAACCAGTGGCTTGAAAGACACTTAAGGTCGTACACTTATACGGTCCTAATAAGTTACTTCTGTCTGCCACATACACTGCCACAACTTCTTATAGAAAAGTGCATATGAGAGGATAATTTATTTAAAATAATAAGCCTTTTACATACCAGTTCATTAATCTTGGCCATTTCATATTTCTTAAAGTCTCCTTATCAAAAGCAAGAATATATTCTGGGTATTCCTTCTCTGTCATAACTTTGAGCTGCCCTATCAGACTGCTTTGCAGGCAGCAGCATGGTGCTGCCAACAGTTTCTTCTTCTTGCATATGCAGATATAGGAGACCAGGAAAAGGGGGAGAAGGAGCCTTGTCTCCCCTCCCCACCAGTGTATATGAGCCTGTGCAGACCATTCCCTCAGCTGAGCCAGGGATAATAAAGATCCACACTGTAACTTTAAGGGTGTAAAACACACCTTCTGAGGATCTCTACTGAGATGGGTTTGAAGCTATCAAGCCTTTTGTTTGGCTTTTTTGGCAATGACAAGACATAAGCTTGTCACTGGGCAATAAAACTCACTGATAAGCAAGGTAAGGGTCACTGAAAGTAGAACTGGAAACTTTCTTTACAGTTGTACAGGTACGAAATCTTGAAATACTATTGAGTTTGAGCAAGGAGACAATCTACTCCAACCAACTTTGAGGTCACTGATTAAAAGAACTGTAAAATGCTAAATATGACCTTAAATTCAAGCAAAGCTTATAAAATCTTTCTGTTTTGTTCAGAAAGATTCAATACTAAGCTCATAAACTTGCTCTGTTTTGTTAGTTGCTCTGTCATATCTTATGATAGTGCAGAAATTAGCTGAACCAGCTTTTAATCCTCAACTTCCTCATTTAAGTTGTCCTGTTAGTTTCCCAGACACTAAATGTGTAAATAGCAGTGGAAACGGTAAGATAGAGTTGGTCACTATTGTCACATACAGTAATCAACAGACTGCTATGGACTTGAGAGTCACTAATACATGCTCAGTGAACATATTGTATTTTCAAAGAATAAGAAATATTAAAATGAGCGATTACCAATTTCAAAGCTTCCATTAATGATCCCCACCAAAGAAGCTGGAATATTGAATTGTTTCTCTATCTGTGTATACATGCTGTTCATGTAAGCACCAGACATCGTTTTACCAACAAATGCAAGTAATAGTGCCAGCAGAAATACCTAGCAAGGAAGAGGAGAATGCATAAAGAATTCAAAATTATATATTTAGAAATATTCCATGGTTATTTTCCCCACCAAAGATGTGCTTCCAGGTAAAAGAAATGAACAGTTCTGTTGCACTGATACGTGTGTAAATCCCGTCATCTGTCCTTGTCCACAGACTTATGGCTTCACTAAACCAAAAAATAAATACAAAAAATATTTTGTTCCTCACCCGCTCCCATTGACCAAGGCTGTCCTCAGACACCCTAAGCGCCATTTCCCCAGCCAAGCCAGGCGCAGCACAGCCTCTCCCACCGTGTGTCTGCTGCAAGCTTGCCATCTGCAGGACTGAATAACGCCTGCAGCCAGACCAGGGTGCAAAGACCTTCGCACCCCTTGCTCATCGGAATGACATATTACTCGGAGAACTAAGATCGTTTCCTTTGATCAAATTACTTGATCGAGTATCTGCTCCCTCATCTCAGTAGAGGTCATGAGACCAGAACAAGTCATTTCAAACAGAAGGAGTAAACAGTGTATCCTTTTTGCAAGAATGTAGTAGCAATTGACAGTGAAAAAGTAAATTTGAATATATGCAGTAGTATTCAAATCCTTTTAACTTTAGGGTTCTTAATAAGCAGTATTTATGACATGAAATCAATAGTATTTTTAAATACATCTGCTGCAAATGGTAAAAAGCGTAAGTAATGTATTTGGGCTTTGAACTACTATTAAAAACAAGCTATTTTCCAACCTTTTATAGTGCTTCTTGACAACTTTAATTGTCTAGGGCACATCAACAGCCAATTTTTACTGCCATGTCACAATCGGTAAGGCTCATTTCACAGGTTTAAGAAGGAATGGTAAACATGTCAGACGAGGGGGATTACACAAAATCAGAGGTGGAGCTTCAAAGGAGCAATCAACCATACCTCCAACACGTCATAGAGTGTAAAGTTCAGGGACACAAAAAGCAACACATGATTGCTTACAAACTTGCTTGACCTCGGTTAAGACATTAAGGATAAGGAAAGAAACAGAGCTTATTCATTCGTTTAGTCTTGATTGTAACTTCTATGAAACCATTATAAGTGCAAGCAATTACAGTTGTGTGTTCATACAAAATTGCTAAAATATTTCTGTACCTTCAGCTTGGAAATGCAGCAGAATTTGTCCCCTGCACATGGCTTCTCAGCTTCTTTCATGTTGCCCTTTTAATTGATCTCAATGTCTGTTTCTGAGTCTGTCCAATGATCCCACTACAGTGTTGAAAAAGACAAAAGAAAAAAATAAATATTTTTGTCCCATATTTGCAAAAAATCAGATTCATGCTAAGATATTTGATATTTGAGTGTCTTCCTTAAATAACTGCAAACTAGATTCCAACAAAATCTACAAGCCTATACACTTTATTCTAATCAAGGAAGTTTGACATGTGAATGTCAGCAATGTCACAGCTAGCTATTTCTCATCAGATACTGAATGCTGCCAGCAGCATACAACCAATAAGCAAAGAACAGAGAAAACAGACATTCTGAGGGCAAGTTAGTTGTCTGTAAGACAGACAATTTCAGCCCTCTTCATAAGACCACTGTAAAAGACAGGACTATGAAGATCTATACGTTTGACTGACATATACCTGTCTCTGTGGTCTTTATTTACTATGCCTCTCCTTGCTAGCCATAAAATGGACATTTAGTTCTGCCTCTGCATGTTCTGTTGAGCCCTCCCCTCTTCCACTGGCATCAATATAAAATTGTTAATTTTAATAGAAACTGTATTGGAGACTAATCTCTTGGCATTAAAATTAGAAGGAGAAAAAATAAAACCAAAACCACCAGACCAACTTAAGTTCTAAATGGAAACGAACCAGACTCTGTTCTGCTTCCCCTACCAAGATTTGTAAAAACATTCCTCTCTATTTGTCTGCCTACTTTTAGTCATCTCCATCTCAACTTGACTGTTAGAACATCTGGTAGTGCTAAGCCATCTGTTTTCTTATGCATCTTACATATTTCCCAAAAATGTGTTCAAATAAGGAGCAATATATTCCAGGGACTTGGAATATACTTATCTGTAAAAGCCCCTACACATCTGAGGGTTAGCACAATGTGTTAAACAGAGACAACACCAGTTTAAAGAAGATTTATCTTGAAGGGCTGCTACAAAGGCTTCATTAAATCAAGTTATTCAATACAGTTCCCTCTGCCAGATGGGGTAAGCTGAAGAAAACCTGGGCAAGTCAGAGCCCTACCTTATAGTTGAGATGGATATACATTAATTTCCTCTTTTTCGTCGTGGATACACTTTCCAAGTGCAATCTTGCAGCACCTGCTCTTCTCTATGTTTTCCACTTCATAGAGCCACAGCTGGGAAGCAAGCTGTCCTTGACAAGGCCACGAATGGGACTGAATTGCCTTTCACATTCTTCAACCCAACACCCTCTCAGTCAATCTCTTCAAACACTAATTTCTACAACAATGTTAATCCTCTCAAATGTGTTTCCTAACTAACTTGATTCGTAGCAAATTCATGGGCATTAAGTCCTTCTACATCTAACTCCTCATTTTCAGTCTCTTAGTGTAACACGTTATTATTGCATTCCTGGAAATACTTACTTTACAATTAAGTGTAGGTGGTCAGCAACTCAGACAATTAACTATGACATATAAATACTTTGCGTTTCTGCTTTGCTTAAAGATGCTGACACAAACTGTGTTCAATCACAATAATAAATTGTGCTTATACACTTGCACTTTCTTTGCAATTTGGCATAAAAGTTTGTATCTGAGGGAATTGTTTATGCTTGATCTTAATACTGCTTTATTCTGACTGTAGCCCACCAGCAATGCCAAAAGGTAAGCAACAGAACAAAGACTGCAATCCTCTATGTCTGTTCTCTTCTGCTCCTAGGAGTTGGCAATGGGTTTCTGTCCCTTACTATAGCAGTCCCTGCATTTCACTAACATATGCAGGGAACATCTGGCTAATTACAGGTTTTCTTTTCTCATGCTAAAAGAAACCAGGCAGCAACCTCTGCCTAAGTTTCTCTTGGAGCATCAGAAACATCACACTGCCCCTCATACAATTACAGATGACAAAACGGCAATGTTTGCCTTTGCTTATTATCACCTTCCCTCAAAACATATGTTATGGTACAAAAAATGCATTTCAATCCATTTTTTACTGTGAAGATTATTAATTGAATAACAAAGCAGACAGAATTATTATTTCCAGCTAATGTCCTGAGGTTGCTTTCCCAAGTTTTAAAATATTTTTGCAGTCACACTTGACGAAATGGAACTGAAGCCAACACAGACTAATAGCCTACATTATCAGAGAGGTGTAGGGATGTAACTCACTACACTCAGGTGCATTTACACCACACTTTAAATCCAGGTTAGAACTCAGACTACCATTTCTGTGACTAAAAATGAACCAATAATGTTCCCACTCCTTTCTCCCATCTCCCTGCTCTCCGTTGTATGTTCCTGTTGTTTGGCTTGCTTCCACTCTTGGGCTCTCCAGACTCTTCTGCAAACCTCTTTAACTCATTAAGGCAGAAATTTAATGCAGGAAAAAGATTGCTTCCCAGGTAGTGAGCTGATTTGGCATGCAGAATGGTTCAACAAGTGTCAGACCCACATAAGCAAAAGAGCAGGAAAGTGGAGCCGAGAACATGAGAAGAGAGGAGGAACTGGGGGTGAAAGCAGAGTAGGAAAGGATGGAGAGTAAAACCTGCCCATAACAGACCAGTGATGTGTTATGTCACCTCAAACATTTGTGGAGCTACAGTCCCAAGCCCTAACCTAAGCTGCCCAGCCCTGAACACAGCTGGCCTCCTGGGATCAGCACAGCTGTAAGGAAATTATCTCCTTCATGAACATCAATCAGTATCTCAGTAGCCAACAGCAAGAGGAGAGGCAGCTTATGCTACTAAGATAGTCACATTGTGACTAAGTTTTGTAATAAACCACCTGAGGAATTTGTGCAGGCCAGGTGAGACTATATATTTAAGCAAAAGTTTGCCCTCAGGTTCTGACTGACCTACCAGCTACCATGTAAACACCTACACTTGGATCCTACTCATAAGCCTGCAATGTGCACTGACATTTCAGGGAAGAGGTCGATAAAATCCTTCCCTAAAGGATCTTACTCCTTCCACTTCTGCACTGAGTTGGGAACCTATTTATGGCAGGCTAGAAAGTTAGTTAGCGGTAATACCACAATTGCCTCTTCCAGCCATCTCCACTACTGGACTAAATTTCCACAGGCAACCAGAAAGACAGACAAGAAATCAGAAGACTTGCCTCCAGAAGGCATCCACTTTACATAGTGCACAAAGAACTAAAGAGCACAGTGTGGACAGGTTTTTTTCAGGACAGTTTTACTACAAAGAAAATGCATGAATTACAGCATCTGGTGTAAATTGGGCTGAACAAGGTTGGCTTAAAAACAAAGCAGATACATCCTGCGTGGATTAAAGCAGGCTCATTCAGTGTAGCTGACAACAGCAGGCAGGCTAGCGTTGAGACACATGAGTTTGGACCTATTTGTCCCACACAAACCCATAAATACGTTTTATAATTTTAAACCACATTTCAGCTTAGCTAACCAATAAAAAGGGAGAACAAAAGCACATTAATATCTGGATTTAAATGTCTACAAAGCAATATTCTGCAAGTTGCCTTGCCTGAGTCCCAAGGTGACGTCCTATTTTCAATGTAAAATGCATCTTCCATTTGGCTCGTATGGATAAACTCATAAGGCCTCGGTTTGTGTACAAACAGGATTAAAAATCATGAGGTAACCAAGCAGAGGGCAACCATAGTGTCAGAATTTTTAACTAGTTTATTTTTCCAGTTACTAGGCACAGTTCAAACTGTTACTTAAATGCAATTACTCTAATGTTAGACTGAGACAAAGGAAAATATTCTCATGGCAAAACAATTCGGTACTTACAGTTTTGAAAAGCTTCAGAAGAAATGACTGACATTGTATGCTTGAACTTTGACTTTTATTCTAAATTGTTGAAAATTAACCCAAGTATACTTACGGCAGAATTTGTGTTTTTGCCAAAAGGTTTCAGATATGCATTTTAGAGTACTCACTCAGAGGTGAAAGACATGGGCTGAGTTCTTCATTAGAAAAAAATTAAGCTTATCTCTTTCTCTTCCCCACTAAAACAGGCCAAGAGGTACAGCTATGTCAGATCCCTGAGCATGAAGTGCTGACATTCCTGCCCACTGAAGACATCCAGAGAGTGCTCACAAGCAAGAGAGGAACTTTAAGAGTGCACATAACTGTGTAGACTTACAGGCTAGCTGGTGTCCTAGCAAAGGGTCACACAGTGTCAGACTGGAAGAGAGGAATGAGTTTGTGTTTCTCACATCTTGAGGGGACGTTTAAGCCCTGAGTTAGTGGATGGAAAGCAGCACAGGCATAACCTTTGGCCTCTTCTTGCTGTCTTGGAGTGATTTGGAAGAAAGTGTAGCTCTTCCCAGTTGGTATAAAGCACTTGGAAGCTCAGCTGTAGGGCAGAACTGGGTCTGAGCCAAAAGTGGAGAAAACTACCTCAGCCCTTGAAGCACAGAGGCATAGTATCCCTCTTCTCAGCATCCCCTGCTGCTGGTCTTCAGTGCTTCTTCTCTGTGTAACTGCCTTTCTGGATCTATTTTCGAAGTATTCAAGTTTAACTACCTACTATATAAGTGGGGTGTTGTTAATTCTAGAAGGAGGCAAAGATCCTAATAATTAGGCACGGTAACATTCACTAGGAGCAGCCTTTCCTTTTGGACTTTTGTTAAATGATGACAGTTCACCATGCAAAAATGAAAGATAAAAAAGCCACCCATAGACACATAACTGCTGTGGTTGTCCTACAGGCGGGGAGCTGCTAGTTACTGATTACTGGATGTTACAAAATCAGAGAATAGTTTGACCAAGAGTAAATAGTTCTAGCTAATGTAACAAGAAGAGATTATGTGACTTCTTTGATCAAATCAGGTAGACATCACATCTAAGAATCTGTAGATACACCTTCAAGTACTGGCACTGAAGTAGGTTTCACTTGTGACCTTAAGTCTCTTGTTGACACTTGTGTTTGTCTCCCTCACAGAAATAACTACTAATGCACGTGAAAAACCTAAATGCAAGGTCTAAAAAGTGTGGTGAGGGTGGGACTGGGATTAATGAAAGCCTGACT